GTTAGCTCCTGTTACGGCAAAGGTGAGCTGCGCTGAATTTCTCTCTGCTCCCCAAATCTGGCTTTTCCCTTACTGGAGAATAACCAGGTATCTCCTGGTCTCTGATAAGAAAGCAAGCTCTAAATCAACAGGTAGCAGTTAAGATAGGTGGCTCACTGATACTGCAACTTTCATGTTGCTTTTAATGACACGGACAGCCTTGACTTTCTGTGCTCCCTTTGCCAGGCCAAAAAGCAGCTGGGAGCCTGGAAAACCACAAATGATAAGAGGCCAGTACAAACACAGCACCTGCCTGCAAGTTTTGGCTGTGTCAGCTCTTGCAATCACAGCTGTATTGCTCAAAGGAATATGAAAAAGCTGGGCAAAAACTTTCTGACAACATTTTCATGTCTGGAAATATCCTTTGGTCACAACCACAATGTCTGAAAATGTTCATTCTGAATAAATTTCTTCTGAAAAGCAAATGAAAATGAAGAATGTTAAGTTCTTAAGAAAGTTAAGTATGTTTCACTGTGGAAACATAACAGGCTGGAACATTTCAATTTGACATATTCAAATACTTTGAAATTAAAAATGCAACATAAGGAAATCAAAGTTATAAATGAAAAAAAATGTATTTCAGATTATTTTATTCAATCCAGAACAGCAAAATAGTCCCAAAATTTAATATTAACAGAAACTCAAAAATTACATTTTATTATGGTTTTATTTAAAATTAGAAAATCCTGGGGAGCAGCTCTAAAGCTGGCAGTTGGTAACCTCTCTGCAAAAAATTAGGAATACATTTCTCTTTTATTGCTTTTGATCAGTCTGCTTTCCCCTTGAACACACAAGGGGACATTTAAATTGTAAGTTTTTACAGAAAACTTAAAGGTAATTTTAGATGGAGAAGCAATGTAAGATCAGGGTATGATTTTTCTCATTGTATTTACTTAGATTACTGAGTTAGTAAAACAGGACACCCGAGGTAAAGGTACAGCATGTCAACACATTTGAAGTATAGCAGCTTCAAACTGTCTCTAAATTACCTCCTCCTCATGGAATTTGCCTTTATTTTCCAGTGCCTGGAGAAAAAAAAAATGAAATTCAATAACAATTGAATTTCATTCAGTAAGTGGTAAAAAGCAATAAAATGAACCCTGCAAAATTGAACTAAGATAAGATAACTTGTATGTTAATACATTTATGGACTCTCATACCCAAGGCTTCATAGCAAAGCACCCTTTGCATAAAACATCTTAGCTGGGAAGAGTCACATCTACCTTTACCCCGAGGACGTCAGTGCAGGTGCTTGCATTGATCCCAGCAGCAGTGGAACAGCTGAGGTAATAAAATCAGCAGGCAGAAACAAAACTGGTACTTAATCACGTAACTCTGCTGAAATTTGATGAAGGCTGCTGCATGTGACCAGGTCACTAAGGGGATGCTGCAGGCAGGGACCCATACTGCCTGCAAGTCATGGTATGGAAGAGAATTTAAACATTCTGAGATTTGTATCACAGTATCACAGTATGCTAGAGATTGGAAGGGACCTCAAAAGATCATCTAGTCCAATCCCCCTGCCGGAGCAGGAACACCTAGATAATGTTACACAGGAATGTGTCCAGGCGGGTTTTGAATGTCTCCAGGGAAGGAGACTCCACAACCTCCCTGGACAGCCTGTTCCAGTGTTCCGTCACCCTCACTGAGAAGAAGTTCCTTCTCAAGTTTAAGTGGAACCTCTTGTGTTCCAGTTTGCACCCATTACCCCTTGTCCTATCATTGTTTGCCACTGAGTAGAGCCTGGCTCCATCCTCGTGACATTCCCCCTTTATATATTTATATACACTAATAAGGTCACCCCTCAGTCTCCTCTTCTCTAAACTATAGAGACCCAGCTCCCTCAGTCTTTCCTCATAAGGGAGATGCTCCACTCCCTTAATCATCTTAGTTGCCCTGCGCTGGACTCTCTCCAGCAGCTCCCTGTCCTTCTTGAACTGAGGGGCCCAGAACTGGACACAATATTCCAAATGGGGTCTCACCAGGGCAGAGTAGAGGGGAAGGAGGACCTCTCTCGACCTACTAACCACCGCCCTTCTAATACATCCCAGGATGCCATTGGCCTTCTTAGCCACAAAGGCACAGTGTTGGCTCATGGTCATCCTGTCGTCCACTAGGACCCCCAGGTCCCTCTCCCCTACACTGCTCTCTAACAGGTCGTTCCCCAACCTATACTGGAACCTGGGGTTGTTCCTGCCCAGATGCAGGACTCTACACTTCCCCTTGTTATATTTCATCCAGTTATTCCCTGCCCAACTCTCCAGCCTGTCCAGGTCTTGCTGGATGGCAGCACAGCCTTCTGGCGTGTCAGCCACTCCTCCCAGCTTAGTGTCATCAGCAAACTTGCTGATAGTACACTCAATTCCCTCATCTAAATCGTTGATGAATATATTAAATAATACCGGTCCCAGTACTGACCCTTGAGGCACTCCACTAGTTACAGGCCTCCAACTAGACTCCGCCCCATAGACTACAACTCTCTGGCTTCTCTCCTTCAGCCAGTTCGCAGTCCACCTCACTACCTGATCATCCAGTCCACACTTCCTCAATTTAGCTGTGAGGATGCTGTGGGAGACTGTGTCATTTTTCATACCGCCTCCACCCCACCACTCATCTGACCTGCTGCTCGTGTGAGTTACCGTTCAGTAAGGAAGAGAGGCAAGTTGAAACACTGCACCTTCAGATGCACAGATCTGGCTGGCTGGGGAGCTGTGCACCCAAGGGATGCCCCAACCCACCTTTCACCCCGTCTTTATGGTCCTAGAAAAGCATAAATGATGAAAACCAGCCCATTCTGGTTCTTATGCACAGGCAGCAGGTCTCTCCAAGGCCCTTGTTTGGTGCTTTTCACTCCTGGAAAGCAAGCAGGGAGAGAGCCCAGCCTTCCTGGGTAGAAGGATGGTCCAGATGAAAAAAAAAAACCACATTACTGACAACATCTGAGGCCTTGCAGTCAGGCTGGGAATCTTTTTTAGAAATTACTTGATTTTAAGCCTCCAGCTTACCCCTTCCCAATGCTGCACCATTTTGCTTGCACCATGGCCGTGATGACTGCCGCCCATCCCTGCTTCACCTTGAGTGGGGGCAGGGAAAGAGCACTGAGTGACTGGACCATAAGGCAGCAAGTCCAGGTTTGGATTTTGATGCCTTACAAATTTTGCCACCTCACCAGCACACCAGGTGCTGGCTCCCAGTTTTTCTCACCCCCTTGGGTCACAGCTATTTGAATTATATCCTCCAGGTTTTCTCTGATTCACATCACAGACACAGGGAATGGCTCCTGCCCATCAGGGGTTTGGTGGGTTATGAGAAACCCCAACAGACCAAGAGACCTCCAAGGGCTGCTGCTTCTGGTACCTCTAATGCCTGACAGCTTAGTCCCTGGGCATTTCACTGCCAAGTTAAAAAGCTCATTCATCACTTGAACTTAAAACAGTACATTTTCAAATGTTAAAAATATTTCTGCATAAGGACCTACCTCTCTAACTAAAACCTAGTCGTATTCAAGCCTGAAAGGGAATTCAAGTGCTTACTTTTAGGCAAAAGCAAGCCTGGGAAAATTCAGGGATCAGACAAAACCAAACCCTCATGAAAAATTACGGTGACAAAATACAGGCGTTCTAGTTTATCAGCCTGCACTCAAGTGGCTGCAGACGGCAAAAGAATTAGCGCCGGGAGACCACGAGCACTGGATCTCTCGGTTCGAGCCCTGGGATGGGAGCACCAGGATCCACAGCCTGGCAAAGCGCAAGGCCGGCAATTCCACTGTGTGATGGCACTGCGAATGCTGCCAGAGGGCTCCTTTGCTGGTGGGGATGAGGTGAGGCACGATCCACAGCCAACAGCTTTTGCCATCGCCACAACAGGGCTCCCCCACCGGGAGCCGGTTCTCCGCCGGCGTTTCCTCCGCCGCCCCACTTGCGGGAGCGAGTCCCGCCAGCACCGAACTGCAGCCCTGCCCGGACCCACCGACAGCAACGGGCACCCGGGAGCGGCCCAGCCCCACCGGGGACCCGGTCACCGAGCACAGGCAGCTCCGCCGCCTTCCGCCGGCCCCTCCCTCCCTCCCGCCACAACCTCTCCGGCCCTGCCAGCGCCAGGGCCCGTGCACGTGCCGCCGCAGCACCAGGCGGGGAAGGGCGAGCCCGTCCCACCGCCCCGAGCCCAGCGCTACTGAGTCACCGCCGCGTGTGTATTGCGGGCCGGGGAAGGGTGACACTTCAACGGCGGCTCCAAAATGGAGGTGAGGAGAGGGAGAAAGGGCGGGGAAGGACAAGAAGGAGCAGCCTCGGGGTCGGTGCCAGCCCCACCTCACCGCGTGGCCCGGGACCGCAGACGCTCCCCCCTCATGCAGAGCAGGAGGTAGGCCTCATGGCTGAGGAGTGCTTTGATGGTGCTGTAGCAGACCACGCTGTTGTTCATCTGGTATCACTGCCCGTTGCTGGCCTGCAGGAGAAGACAGAATGGGGTAGGGCTGTGTCCAGGGCCTCTCCTGGCCAGAAGACCAGAAGCAGCAGCACCCATCAGCAGAGCTCTGCTGGCCAAAGCCCGCAGCAGCCCAGGACAGGCAAGAGGACTCTGCAGAAGCACTTCCTGCAGCGGAGAACAGCCTGTACCCCCCATCCCTACAGTGCTCCCAACCGTGCACATCTGCTGAACACCTTCCTGCAGCCAGCAATGACCCAGCGGCACCCACCAGCCCCCAGCCCCGAGTGCACTGTGCTCACCTTCACATAACAATAGTAGTGCCCCATCTGGCAGCTGTACACAGAGTGTACCAGCACTGCACACAGCCCACACATGACAGGACCCCTGCTGTTCTCAGACGTGTATGGGTGGATGTTCAGGACCTCAGGATATGCCACAGCCTGCAGAGGAACAGAGGGTGTCTCAGGAGCCTGCACAGCAGACGAGTTTCTTGCTAGAGCAGGAGCAGCTCAGGTGTCCTGCGAATCCATTTCTTAAGGGAGAGGGACCTGCTCTCCCCAGGCAGACGTCACCATGAGGAAGGTGCCAGGACATGCTCCCAGGGCATGGCTGGGCAACAGCAGCAACGCCGCTTCCCACCCTGCTGCTGGGGCCAGGAGGCAGTGCCTGCGCTGAGCTGCAGCCTGGTATCTGCTGACACTGCAGAAACAGGCAAAGTGAGCACAAGGAAGAAGCTCATCCTCCAAGGCAGATCTCGTGCCCCAAAAGACACTGTCAGGACTAACAATGTCATGAGGGTGCAGGGTGCATGGGCATACTGGGGCCTGTACTGGGCAGGGAGGAGCTAGGGGTAAATATTTATGCCAGCTGCAAAGTTTTTCGCACCTCAGGCACGACCCTGTGCCTCCACCCTGGAGAGCTGGTGGCTTGTCTGCCCTAATGGCCCTTTGGAGCACTGGTGTGCAGTCTCTGGTGTTTACAGGTCTATGCAGCTGCCTGGTGCTGCTCATTTTCTTCCTCGTTCACTTCTTTTACCTCCGTGTGGCAGAGGCAGACTCCCAGTCTGGGTGGGCACAGGGGGGTGACATGAGCCAGCTCTCCACGGCCTGCGAGCCCGGCACCTCCAAATCACGGCTGGGACCTGCTGCCTCCAGCTCCTCCCAATCACAGCTGGGACCTGCTGCCTCCGGCCCCTCCAGGGACTCCAAGGCCTCAGCAGCGAGAGAAGTCTCTTCTTCTTCTTCTCGGGTGGGATGGAGACCTCCTCCTCGACCGCTGGAGCACCAAGGCTGCTGCCTGCCTCGTGCCGCCTCTTCTTTGTGAAGGAGCCAGTGATGACCGGGCTGGGCCCCTCCCTGCTGCAGAGAGAAAGGTGGTGTGAGGGGTGGTGATGGACCAGCACTGTCCAAGGGGGAGGCTGGGTGCTGAGGGGCTGGGCTGTGGCTGGGGCAGTCCACAAGGCTTTCACCACAGGCTTCCACAGCCTCACACTTTAGCATGGAACAGATCGAAAAGCCCTCCCGTGTTGTGGCTTTCTGCCTGCTTCCCACCAGCACATCAGCAGCTCTGTTCCTGCCCACAGCCCTGCACGCACCCTGCTCACAGGGAGTTCTCCACACCCAGTAGGTCCAGCTTCACAAACAGCTCCAGCGCCTCCCGTAGGTCTCTGGCTTGCTGCAAGGATGGAGGAGAGGTCAGCGCGCAGGTGACCTGGCCAGGCCACAGCCTGGCTCCCTGCCGAGATGCCGGCCCCAGGAGAGCAGGAGCACCGGGTCCCCAGCCCGCTGCAGTACCGAGATCTCCAGTGCCAGGTCCAGGAAAGGGTCGTACGTGTCCGAGGCTCTCTTGCACGACAAACACTCCACTGTAAAGGAAAGAGCAATGAGCACACCCTGGCACACTGACCCGCACCCATCGCCACCCAGCACAATGCGGGAACTGCCTCCCCTCTTCGGGTTCGAGCTCTGGGACGGGAACACCAGGATGCGCAGCCTGGCACAGAGGAAGGCTGCCAATTCCACTGCGTGCTGGCACAGCGAGTGGTGCCAGGAGGTTCATTTCCTGGTGGCGATGAGCTGGGGATCCACAGCCGACAGCTCTTGCCGTCACCACAAGCGGGCTCCTGACCCACAGGTCCCACGGGACTGAGCAGCTGAAGCTCTGGATCATGTCTACGTGCTCAGCGATTTTCCCAAAGCATTTTAACTACAAGGCTCCCGGCAAAGCAACAGCAGGCCCAGGGCCTGGCACCGAGCACTCACCACGGGATCGCAGGTTGCCGCCAAAGATCTGGTGGACCAATGTTGTTGCCTGGGTCTTGCAGTCCAACCTTGAAACAGCAGCACCGGGTCTCACACCGTCCCTGCCCTATGGCCGTCCTGCCACTGCCATGGTGTCCTCAGCACAAGCTCGTGGCTGGAGCTCAGAGCTGGGCACTGCAGGGGCAACACAGCTTCCTGGGGCAAGGGCCCCGGAACACAAGTGCTGCCTGGGGAACACACTGACCCCACAGTCCCCTCCAGCAAGGCAGGGAACCAGCGAGAGGACAGCGGAGAAGAGCAGGGACAGCCCATCAGAGGGATGCCCCACGTACCTTTTGCAGCCACTCAGGCAGGACTTCTGCATAGCGTTGATGGTGTAACGCAGGAATTCATGCGCATCCTCCTGCTGTACAAAGCGCATGTGCCCAGTGATCTCTTCAGGACAGGGACGAATCAACCCCAGCACATGCTGTGAGAGACAGAGCCCACCTCCCTCGGTGGCCCCAGGGGTTGAGTCCCCTCAAACCAAAGCGGACGGCAGACTCGTGTCGGCCACGGGGGAACCCCACACACAGCCCATGAGGTCAGCAGGTCCCCGCAGGCTCCACGAGTTCTCCTGGCCTCTTCTCAAAGGTTCTGCTCACACATTACTCCCTGCTCTCCAGCACGGCTATGGGAGGAGGGGAAGTACAGTGGAGTCATTCTTACCGTTGAGTTCTTGGACAAAGGCCGTTGGCTCTATCACTCTCCCACTGTTCGCAAAAGCCTCAGCCACGTGGCTCTGCATGGTGCGTATCATGCAGAAGCTGCCTTGGTCACCTGTGACAAAGGAGTAGATGACAGGAGGTTGGGGACAAACACAGTAGAGATCAAAGCAGTACAGGAGACGGGGCAGTACAGTACAGGTCGGAGCAATGCCCATCACATTCCCTTTCAAAGTCACACATCAACAGCATCTGCTGCCTGTACGCAGCCTTCTGCCCTCACGCAGGCAGGGGCTGTTTGGGATGTCCAGCTCAGTCCCCACGAAGCCAGCAGACCCCACGGGAGCCATCTTAGCCTTGGCTACAACCACCATGGACACAAGCGTCCCCAGACACAAAGATGTAAAGCTCAGGGGTGCTGCTATGGCTGGGAAAAAGGAGCTATACACAGGAGCAGCATCTCCATGGAGAAGTGGCAGGAGGGGGCAGAGAAGGTTCATCCTGACACCCACATGGCCCTTGCCAGAGCCACGTGTGCTGAGATACTGAGCCCAGCGTGCGGAGCAGGGGCCTGCCAGCACAGCCAGCTGCCGCGCCAGGCCCCACTACTCACGGGTGCAGCGGTGCTCCTTGGAAAGCAGGTAGTTAGGGAGCGGCAGGGTGTATGTCAGGCACTGCACAGTGGAGTTAAGGAAATGTGTTCCCGAGGTTACGCAGTCCCACGCCAATTGGGTGCACCCACTGCCACTCCATGGATAGGCGCTCCATGGGGAAGATCCCATCCCTTGGGCCCACCTGGGCATCGCTGCTCTCCATAGGATGAGGAATGGTGGGTGAGCTGTGCAGTGTGGGCTGCAGTTGTGCCCACTGAGCCCCCAGTACTTACTCTGCTTGACCTGCTGCTCCTCCTCGGGGCTGCACTGGGGTCCAGCAGCCTTGGCAGGGGGGTTCCTGCACCCTAACTTGCTGCAGATCTTCTGCAGCTTCTTGAAGAAGCACCAGTAGGGAAGTTCACTCTTAGCCTTCTGCGGCAGCACCTTCTTGGCAGCCTGAGCCAGCAGATTGGCCACCTTCCCTTTCCCGCTTATCTCCCACCGGGCCCGCTTCATCATCTTCCGCATCTTCTCCATGACCGGCATGGTGAGGCCTAGCGGTCTCAACTGCAGGGAGAGGCAGGCAATTGAGTGGGGGACACTGGGCCGTTCTGTTCCTATCGCAGGACCGCGTGTTGCCAGCAGAACAGCACACGGCCTGGGCTGGCCCTGCCACCGCGGCGGGCACCGCCCCGACACCAGCCCAGCTCCGACCTGTGTTTCCCGCCTCACCCCCCTGCACACACTGCACAACGTGCACCAGACGCACGTGTCCTGAAGAGCAGGCGCTGCTGTTACCGCACCCAATGAACGGCGCCCAACTCTTGGGGTCTGGCCAGCGACAGGCGCCCAACCCTTGGGGTCCGCCCCGTCAACCACTTCCACCCCTCGAAGTCCGCTCTCCGCGTTCCTCCAATCAGCCGCGTTGAACCGACGACTCCGCCTGATCAACCGCGTGCTGAAGCCACGGGAAGGAAGCTTATGCTCCGCCTCCATGGCCCGCCCAGCTCCGGGCGAGAGAGCTGAGCTAAGGTTGTGCCTGCATCGCTTATATAATGCCGGGGGACAGTGCTTGGACAAGCGGGCTTTGTGGCGTGCCTGTTGCTGCCTGGTGCTGCTCATTTTCTTCCTCATCCACTTTTCCCTCCTTGCGGCAGAGGCAGACTCCCAGTCTGTGTGGGCACAGGGGGGTGACACAAGCCAGCTCCCCAGGGCCTGCGAGCCCAGTGCCTCCCAATCACGGCTGGGACCTGCTGCCTCCGGCCCCTCCAGGAACTCCAAGGCCTCAGCAGCGAGAGAAGTCTCTTCTTCTTCTTCTTCTCGGGTGGGACAGAGACCTCCTCCTCGACCGCTGGAGCACCAAGGCTGCTGCCTGCCTCGTGCCGCCTCTTCTTCTTGAAGGAGCCAGTGATGACCGGGCTGGGCCCCACCCTGCTGCAGAGAGAAAGGTGGTGATGGACTAGCACTGTCCAGGGGGGAGGCTGGGTGCCAAGAGGCTGGGCTGGGGCTGAGGCAGTCCAGAGCAGGGGAGGCAGATGCCGAAATCACCCCTGAGCCGGCGCCGAGGCCAGAGGTGCCTCGAGGAGCCCCCCGAGGCTGCAGATGGCCTGGCCACAGCACAAGAGATGGGCAGCGATGGGCACTGCTTACCTGCATGTGCCCAAAGGCAGCAGAGGCGAGCTGGGGCAGCTGCTGTTCAGTGGGAAGCTGCTGCCAGCGGCTTGCGCGCGAGGCCGTGCGTGGTGGTCCCTCCTGTGCAGCTTCCTGCCCTGCGGGGACTGACACACATAAAGGCTTGGTGAGCTGAAGAAAAGAGGTTTCCATCAGGCAAGAGGGGAAAACCAAAAGGGGAGCCCAGGCACAGGGGGAGGGAAGCAGGGTGGTGGAAGAGGAATCAGACGTGCTTTTATGTAGGAGCACCAAGGAAAAAAAAAAGCAAGGAAGTTTCAAGACCTGAAGCCCCTGTGCCCGGTGCTGAGACCCGGCTGCACCGCTGTGCCCAGAGGGCAGCTCTGAGCCCTCCTGCTCCCACTCGCCTCAGGGAGGGCTGGCAAGGCTGCCCCATGTCCTCAGCAAGGCAGGAACCATCTCTCCTGCATCACTCATGGGAACAGCAGCAGCTCTGCCCTCCCTCCACAGCCTGGGCTGGGGCTCTCTCCACCCTCTCTGGCCAGGCAGGATCCCCAGCACTGGCTCTGCACTTGCTGCCAGCATGAGCCTTGCTTCACAAGACACAAGGCACCTGCTGAAGGCCCCAGGCAGAAGCTCAGGCTCACCTTTCTGGCAGCGCCAGCTTCTTGGCCGGTGGTGGTGGTGTGCTGCTGCTCTGCCCACAGCAGCACTGGCCAACCAGGGTGATTTCACCTTCATGCGCCTGATGGTTGTGGGGGCAGCCGGCGTGACACTGGGGACGTCGGTGCCACAGTCTGTCTCCCAAGAGGTGCTGGAGCTGCTGGTTCTGCTCCCGGCCTCCTGGGAAACTGTGTCCAGCTTCCCCACTGCAGCAGGCGCTGGACTGGCAGCACTGCTGCTTCCCGAGTCCTCCCCCGAGTCACAGGCTCTATGCCCAGTGCTCCCAGGCTGCTGGGTGAGGCCCAACAGCACTGGGGATGTGGCCTGGGCAGGTAGAGTCCTTTCCTCCCAGGAGCTCTGCTGAGGATGATCTGCTTCAGCTGAGCCTGCTCTGCTGGTGATGCTGGAGCCCAGGGCTGACGTGGACCTGGGAGGCTCTGGGCTCTGGGCTGTGGCACTGGGCAGCACTGTGCCCACACAGGTGGCTTTGAAGGCCACTTCAGTTGGCAGTGATGTAAAGGGCAGCTTCCCTGGGGAGGGGCCGTTCCACAGCTCTGGTTCCATACCCAATGTGCTGCGGTCCATGGGAACCCCAACCACCTCCAGCCCTGGTGTCCTCTTCTCTGGCCACTCGCTGCGACCCTGGACAAAGAAAGAGGGAGAAGTTCAGGGAGAAGAGAATTCAAGGAGCCAGGGGCACAAAGTGATCCTGCCCTCGGGGCCACACAGGCACCCTTGACTCAGCAGGATCCCTCCTGCAAACAGCTTGCTCCCTTCCCGGCTGCAGGAGAGCAGCCCAAGAGGCAGCAGCTCCCAGCTCCCATGAGCACTGCCCAAGAGCAGCCTTCAGGACACACCAGTGATGGGAACAGGGGCCTGTGGCTCACAGTTTTCTTTGCCTCTTTGGAGACGATGCCCTCAGAGCCAGTCAGCTTGGAGACAGCTCTGGCAATGGGCCTGTCCAAGCTCTTCTCTGGGCCAGAGAGTCTGGAAAAGAAGGACAAAGGTTAACTGCAAGTGTTTGACCAAATGGAATGCTTTCGATCAGAACTGCACCCAAGAAGCAGGAGTCAGCAGCTCCAAGGAGGGAGATGCTCTTCATCTACAGCAAAACCATGGCAAGGGGCTGGAGCTCTCCTGCACGTGGTGCCAGCCCTGCCCTGCTGGGGGGCTGGGGGCCACAGGCACTCCTACCTCACATAGAAGAGCAGGTAGGCCTCCTGGTTCAGCACCGCTTTGATGTTACTGTGGCAGACCACGCTGTCGTTCATCTTGTACCACTGTCCGTTGCTGGCCTGCAGAAGGAGCAGAGAGAATGGGGTTGGGCTGTGTCCAGAGCTTCGCCTGGTCCAAAGACTGGCAGCAGCAGCAGCACCCACCAGCAGAGCTCCTCTGGCCAAAGCCCACAGCAGCCCAGGGCAGGCAAGAGGACTCTACAAGAGTGCTTCCAGCAGCAAAGCACAGCCTGACCCAGCAGCTCCCAGCCCAGGGTGCTCTGGGCTCAACTTCACATAGCAGTAGTAGTGCCCTGCATTGCAGCTGTACCCAGAATGTACCAGCACTGCATAGAGCCCATACATTACAGCATCCCCCTTGTTTTCTGACAGGTATGGGCGGATGTTGAGGAGCTTGGGGTACGCCACGGTATGCAGAGGAAGAGAAGATGTCTCAGGAGCCTGCACAGCAGATGGGTTTCTTGCTAGAGCAGGAGCAGCTCAACTGTCCTCATGTCCATCTCCCGAGGGAGCAGGAGCTGCCCTCCCCAGGTAGAGGTCACCATGATGAAGGTGCCAGGACAAGCTCCTAGCGTGTGGCTGGCCAAGAGCAGCAGGACCACCTCCCACCCTGCTGCTTGGGCCAGGAGACAGCCCCAGCTCTGCATTGCTGAGCACTCACCTTTGTGACTTTCTGGCCACCACAGAAGAGGAACCGCTTCAGTGAGAGCGTGAGAACGTTGGAGGCTCAGTGGATGCTGAAGCGTTTTGCTGCCGACACTGTTGTTGCGTCTGCACAGGAAGAGCTGTGTCATTCAAGCTGTTCCACCACCCAGATGATTGCCAGCTCTGGCCAAGTGGCAGACCCCATGGAAATGACCTGGCAGGCACCAGGCATCTGCTTATGGCCATGTCCGCTGACCCAGGTTCTCCTCATGAAAGGAAGGAGCTGAAGAGCGGCAGCTTTCACCACAGGCTTCCACGGCCTCACACTTTAGCATGGAGCAGGTTTAGAAGCCCTCCCATGTTGTGGGTTTCTCCCATGTTGTGCTGTTTCTGACCAGCACAGCCGCAGACCTATTCCTGCCCTCAGCCCAACATGCTCCCTGCACACAGGCAGGCATTCTCCCCACCCAGCAGGTCTGGCTTCACAAACAGCTCCAGCGTCTCCAGGAGGTCTCTGGCTTGCTGCAAGAATGGAGGAGAGGTCAGTGCATGGGTGGCCAGGCTAGGAGACAGCCTGGCTCCCTGCCAAGACACCGTTCCAGGGAAAGCACAAGCAGAGCATCCCCGCTCACCTGATCTCCAGCGCCAGGTCTTGGAACGGTTTGTAAGTGTTCGAGACTCTTGCACACCAAACACTCCACTGCAAAGAGCAACGAGCACACTGGCACAACAACCTGCACGCAGCACAGCCCGGGAACCGCCTCCCCCTCTCCCAGCTTGAGCTCTGGGATGGGAGCACCAGGATCTGCAGCCTGGCGCAGAGGAAGGCTGGCAATTCCACTGTGTGCCAGCACAGCAGGTGTGCCAGGGAGTTCCTTTACTGGTAGTGATGAGATGAGCTGGGAATCCACAGTCAACAGCTTTTGCCATCACTACAACAGGGCTCCTGACCCACCAGTCCCATGGGACTGACCAACTGCAGCTCTGGATCATTTCCATGTGCTCAGTCATTTTCCCAAAGGATTTTAACTACAAGGCTGCTGTCAAAGCAGCAGCCCCAAGTGATTGCAGGCCCAGGGCCTGGCACCGAGCACTCACCACGGGACCCCAGGTAACCGCCAAAGATCTGGTGAACCAATGTGGTGGCCTGGGTCTCGCTATCTAACCTTGAAACAGCAGCACCGGGTCTCACACCGTCCCTGTACCATGGCCATGCCACAGACACCAGGGTGTCCTCAGCACAAACTCCTGGCTGGAGCTCAGAGCTGGGCACTGCAGGGGCAGCGCAACTTCTCAGGGCAAGAGCCTAAGAATACAAGTGCTGCCTGGGGAGCACGCTGACCCCACAGTCCCCTCCAGCAGGGGCAGGGGACCAGCAAGAGGATGGTGGAGAAGGGCAGCAACAGCCCATCAGAGAGAGCCCCCATGTACTTGGTGCAGCCGCTCAGGCAGGACCTCTGCATGCCTTCAATGGTGTAAACGCAGGAACTTGTGTGCATCTTCCCGTTGCCCGAAGTGCATGTGCTGAACGATCTCTGCAGGAGAGGGAGGAATCAGCCCCAGCACATGCTGTGAGAGACAGCACCCCACCTCTCTTGGGAGCCCCAGGGGTTGAGTCGCCTCAAACCAAAGCGGACGGCAGACTCATGTTGGCCATGGGGGATCCCCACACACAGCCCATGAGGTCACTAGGTCCTGGCAGGCTCTGTGAGTCACCTGCCCTCATCTCAAAGGTTCTGCTCCCTGCTCTCCAGCTCAGCTACGTGAGAGGAAGGGAGCGCAGTGCAGCCATTCTTAATCTCGAGGTCTCCAGGTCCTGGCAGGCTCTGTGAGTCACCTGCCCTCATCTCAAAGGTTCTGCTCCCTGCTCTCCAGCTCAGCTACGTGAGAGGAAGGGAGCGCAGTGCAGCCATTCTTACTCTCGAGGTCTCAGACAAAGGCCATAGGCTCTATCATGCTGCCGCTGTTGGGAAAAGCCTACACCACATGGTTCTGCATGATGCATATCATGCAGAAGCTGCCTTGGTCACCTGGAGCAGAGGAGAAGACAGGACGTTGGGAGCAATCCCAGTAGAGGTCAAAACAGTACAGGAGACAGGGCATCACCAGTCCAGCGCAGCTTAGTTTTCCCTATGAGCTCTGTGCTACAGTCCAGCTCTGGGGCATCTCGAGTACACAAGGACCAGCACATGTCACCCCCTCTGGTGCAGCCATAGTCACAGCCCCACCCAGACAAGACAGCACCCAGGCAGATGGAAAACACGTCACAGGTACTGGCTGGAGAAGCCCACAGGTCAGCCCTGAGGGACAGACGATGGAGCCACAAGCCCTGCTGCTCTACTTCCTCACACCTCGGAGCGATGCCCATCACATTCCTTTTCAAAGCCACACATCAGGATGGATTTCACCAGATCCCATGGACTTTTGCACGTTCTGGTTCTTAATGTGATCTTGAACCTGATCCTCTCTTACAGTGGGCCTAAGATCTTCCTTCTCACTGTCCCTACATCTGTCTCCCAAGACTTGGGCAGTGTGGTGAGAGCATTATGATCAAAAGATCATAAAAGGCTGAATCTCTTTAACCATGTGATAAGACAACTGTTACTGACTATGAGCTTAACTCACAGTTTCCTTGAATTTGTGAGTTTAACTTGGAAGTGGAAATGCTTTGAATGTGTTTTTGCAGAAACGTGCATACTGGAAAGAAAAAAAACATTTAGTGGGAGCTGCCAGTATCTGGCTGATAACCCAGCATATGGGGTATGTTGGAACTGAATCACTCTTGCACAGTAAATTTTTGGGGGGTAAAAGAGGGCAGAAAAGATGAACTCTATTGAGACTGACTATGTTACGTGAGTCCATGGACAAGGGCTTTACTTTTGATGTACATATATTTGGCAGTCATCACTGAAGATTTATTTACAGGGTGTCATTTGAGGTTTGCTCTGATATACCCGGCAAAATACTCACAAGGTTTATTTTGCTTGGGGCCTGCTCTTTCCACGTGACTTCTTTAACTTTTTTCAGCTGCTCGCGAGAGATTTCGTAAGCTCAACTTGTTCCTATGTTATACTGGGTTTGAACATTTCAGGTGTTCATCCCTCTACTGCTCCCTCTTAAGCCTTGCCTGACTAAGCAAATAAACAGGAGGCTTACATATATTCTTATATATGCACATGCTAAAGAAAATACACAATAATTCACCCAAGACCACACCACCCTCCTCCTGGAGGCTCGCAGACCCTTTGGAGTGACTGTGAGCTTACTGTTACTGAAGGTCCCTTGATTCCTGCAGCATGTTTACCCTCAAGGAGAGGTTACAGGTACTGGGTGTTACTCTAGGTCTGCTTCAGATGGTGTAAGGCAGAAGTGTTTGTGTCAAGGATCTAACTCGAGAATATAGCCTGACAGACAAGGAATTTGAAACCTGTCTCAGATCTGATTTCAATTCTTCGTCTGAATTGTTTATTCCTTTGTCTCACTGTGTATTATTTCATGATTTCCATCTACAGCTTTGTCGTGGTTTAAACCCAGTCAGGTAATTCGTTCGCTCACTTCCCCCCCTTTTCTTTCCCTCCCCCTGCTCTCGGAGGGACGGAGAGGAGAATCGAAAAGAATGCAACTCCCACGGGTTGAGATAAGAACAGTTTAGTAACTAAGGTATAACACAGATCACTACTGCTACCACCAATGATAATAATGATAAAGGAAATAACAAGGGAAGAGAATACATCATCTCACCACCAGCCGACCGATAACTCGCCCCCCCCAGCCCGACCAAGCTCCGACCGATACCTCCTCCAACCCTGCAGTCTCCCGGCCCTTCCGGCTAACTCCCAGTCACATCCTGGGCATGACGTGCTGTGGTATGGAATACCTCTTTGGCTAACTTGGGTCAGGTGTCCTGTCTCTGCTTCCTCCTGGCTCCCCCTCCTCCCTGGCAGAGCATGAGGCTCACAAAGTCCTTGGCCAAACCAAAACATCGCTTGTTATCAGCTCTGTTCCCGAGCTGAAAGTCAAAACATTGCACTGCACCAGCTACCAAGAAGGGGAAAAATGACTGCTACTGCTGAACCCAGGACATTATCCACCCCTTATTCCATACCATTCACGTCATGCTCAGATCCCACATTTTCAATATACCATCACTCTTATCTCAGTGCACTCTTATCTTAGTGCATGGACCAGTCCCTATAGAGCTGCTGAGTCCATCTGGTACATGATGTCAGGCTCCATCTCTTGTAACAGTCTTCCAGAGCAGGAGAGACTGTGTGCAGTGTTCACACTCGTGAATAACCTGGGCAATAGTGTCCATTCCTAAGTCCACCCCTCGATCATGAGTCCATCTCTGTGTTGCATCTCTGCTCTGATGGCCTGAAGTGCATTGGGCCCACCAGGCTCAAAATAATTCACTGTCCCCTTCAGCAGTTTCTGCAGCTTGTTGCTGGGGACTCCATACAGCTGCCTTCCATCTCCGATGCTTCCAAAGCACTGGAGGGGCCCAATGGACTAGATACTTGCCCATACTGTCCCACACACCCTGCCACTCCTGGCTGTCCAGCCTTGGGGAAAACCTCTTGGTCCCCCCATATCCTCGTCTAACCCCAGACAAGACCCAAACCTGACTCTGCTTAACTTTTGAGATCAGACAAAATGGTCGTGGGTAGAACACAGCCTGTGTGTGTGCCAACATGCTGATCCCCATCACAATCAGCAGGCAGGTTCCAAGGATACCCAAAGGCCATTCAAAACCTTCAGAATTCTCAGTTGATGCTGCTGTCCCTGTCACTGGGGCTGGTGTAGCTGCTGTGCTTGCCGGCTCTCCCACCGCCAGCTTCTCTTTTCCTGAGTCCAGCTCTTCCTCCTCTGCCTTGCTGGGATGTGCTGCGTGGTCTCCTGCATCCTCCTGGGGCTCGGCGGGCGGCTTCCGGGAAACGCTCTCGGCCGTCGCGGGGCTCGGCTCGGCCGCGGGGCTCGGCTCCTCCGCGGGGCTCGGCTCGGCCGCGGGGCTCGGCTCTTCCGCGGGGCTCGGCTCCTCCGCCGCCTTCTCCCGCTGCTCGGCAGCCCCTTCCTTCTGCTCCTCGACCGCCCCGACCTCCTCCACCCGCAGCCGTCCCCTCGCGGCCTCCGGCCCCGCTCCCGCCGCCGCTTGGTGCCCGGGGCCGCTCTCCCGGGCCGCTTCGGCTGCCGCCGGCTCCCGGGGCCGCTCCCCCTCGGCTCCCCGCAGCCTCACGAAGATGGAGAGTAGGGTGAGGGCCAGGACGGGGCAGAGCAGCCGGACGGCCAGGTACAAGTCCAAGGCCACGTCCGTCCCGCCCTGCTGCTGGAGCCCGCCCGTATTACAAGCCATTGCCATAAAGCACAGTGAGACAAGAACCTTAGCCCAGGCCCCATACTTGATAAACACTATCACAGCAAATACCGGCTCTACGTAAGTTACAACATTCTGAAGCTGTGAGATCAAGCAAAACAACTCTGAGAGCCAATAAATCAGCATTGTGACGAGTGACTATTAATCCGGTCAGATCTGTCGTTATCTCAACCCTTCGTGCCCCACGTTGGGCGCCAAAAAGAACTGTCGTGGTTTAAACCCAGTCAGGTAATTCGTTCACTCACTTCCCCCCCTTTTCTTTCCCTCCCCCTGCTCTCGGAGGGACGGAGAGGAGAATCGAAAAGAATGCAACTCCCACGGGTTGAGATAGGAACAGTTTAGTAACTAAGGTATAACACAGATCACTACTGCTACCACCAATGATAATAATGATAAAGGAAATAACAAGGGAAGAGAATACATCATCTCACCACCAGCCGACCGATAACTCGCCCCCCCCAGCCCGACCAAGCTCCGACCGATACCTCCTCCAACCCTGCAGTCTCCCGGCCCTTCCGGCTAACTCCCAGTCACATCCTGGGCATGACGTGCTGTGGTATGGAATACCTCTTTGGCTAACTTGGGTCAGGTGTCCTGTCTCTGCTTCCTCCTGGCTCCCCCTCCTCCCTGGCAGAGCATGAGGCTCACAAAGTCCTTGGCGAAACCAAAACATCGCTTGTTATCAGCTCTGTTCCCGAGCTGAAAGTCAAAACATTGCACTGCACCAGCTACCAAGAAGGGGAAAAATGACTGCTACTGCTGAACCCAGGACAAGCTTGTTCTTAAATCAGTGAGTTCAAAAACTGCTTGTATTACACACTTGATGAATGTTTCTCATAAAGTTACATTTACAGTTGTGTAGCATGTAAGAAATCAGTTGTTCTCACTTCTAGCATGAGATTCCAGTAAAAGCCAGTTGGGCACACAACATCCGTCAAAAAATGCCTTTGATCTCTGCTGGCTAAATCAGTGATATCAGCCTTTAGGGACTAGTAGGATCCTCAGAGTCACAAAACCTTTGTAAATAAAAGCTAAGAACTGTATGGTGATGACATGGTCTGTTCTTGCTTTAGCCCTGGCATAAGTTCTGTACAGAAATGTTACTGATGCATGACAGTGATTCTGTGGCTTTCCCACTGGAGACAGCACTGCCAGGGCTGGCCTTACCACATCAGTCACTACAAATTCCCTCAGGTTAAAAGAAGTACATCTTATAATCTGATATGGCCGTGTGTTCTACACAAAATCTTTCCTGTTAATTGCAACAAGAGAGAAATGAAGGCAAC